ATGCCGGTGAGCAGACACCCTGCGAAGTCTTCACGCACACGCCAAAACATAAGCTTTTATTGAAAAATAACTCTGTTTCTCTACAGGCCGTAGCATGCACGAAAGGGGCCAGGATCCAGGCCCAGCGGGGTGAGCACTTGCCCCGTTACCTGTAGATGTCACACTCCGAAAGACAGATCTCCTCATCCACAGCATCCCACAGGTGTGGCTTCAGGGCGTTGAAATCTTCCCGAACGGCAGAGAAGAGGCTGCAGTTGACAGCGTTCACCACCTAGAGAGACCGAGCAGGGCTCGTGAGAGCAGCCGCTGCCTGCCTTCCTCCCCGCCATCTCCCTCCCATGCTCCACGCAGCTCATTCTCCCCATCCCTCCTCCATCAAGAGGAGATGCCGGAGCCTGATGACGGCCGTGGAGGGGGAGAAACAAGATAGCCAGGCGCTGCCGTGCTAGATTCAGGACCCTGAGGTGGAAGCAAGGAGACAGGGAGCAGGGAAGCAACAAGGCTGGAGAGGGAAAACCCATCAGAGGATCTCCAGGGCACCTGCAGCCCAAGGCTCTCCCAGCAGAGAGCGTGGCTTCCTCAAAGCCTCTCTGCAAACAGGGCAAACCTCCCTGGGCAGAGGACACTCCCTGCTCCATCCGCCTCCTTGACAAGGGCAGCCTTGCTGGACCCTGGCAGCCAGCAGACGGACAGACAGACAGAGGCAGGCAGGCTCTGGCAACCCGCCGGGAGGGACAGCACGCTCAGCCCTGCAGAGCCACCCCTCTGCCCGGTGCGAGGTAAAGCAGTGTCCGGCCACCGGCACCACGGGCACAGGGGTAAAAGCACCGGGCAGCAGATCGGGCAGTCTGCTGCAGAAAGGACTCAAGCCACTGACGCTTCCCTCCCCCTTCCTTCCTCCAAACACCTGCCCCAGGAAACAGCGGCCTAACTGAGCCTGGCATGGAAAACCCCGCTCACAAGAGGCCGAGCCCAAAGAAGAGCAAAGAGGAAGGCTGCTGCCGCTGAAGGAAAACACCCCAGGATGACTGCTGGAAAAGACACCTTGCAAACCTCTTCCCAGGAAGGTCTGCCTCATCCTTGGGCTGACGGTGCCGGAGGAGGGAGCGAGGCGTGCCCTGGGAACACTGTGGGGATCCTCAGAGCACCGGACGCTCCCCCACCAGATCCACGCTGCCTTCTCTTCCAGGACAGAGGCAGGCAGCACGGCAGGCCTTCCGAGCGAGGGGGGGCAGGGGGACGGGACCTGTCCTGCCTGAGGGTGCTGTGCTCACGTACCCAGTTGAGGCTTGGCTCCCGGCTGAACTCGTGGCTCTTGGCAGCGCTGAAGTCGTAGTCCGGGCGGAAGGACTCGTTCAGCGTCGCTATCAGGTAGAAGAGGGTCTTGCGGCTGCACTTGTCGCTCAGGGGTCCCTCCTCATCACCACTCTGACTTTTACTGAGCCTGAGAGGCAGAACAGCAGTGTTAGTGGTGTCTCTAGCATGGCCTGGGCCAATGCCGAATATGAGCTGGCAGTGTGCCCAGGTGG